TTCCTCTCCATAGACAGCTGCCGCTCCAAGAAGGTAATACGGCATTCCATGGCGCGACTCTCCTCCTCGAGGACTAGCTTTTCTTTCTCCCAATTTTCCTTCTCCTCCTTCAGGGCCTGGCATTCAAACTTGTACCTCAGAGACGTGACTTTTGACTCTTTCAGTTCATTTACAAGTCGCACAACTTCCCCTTTCAGTTGAAGAGTTTTCTCTTCGGCTCTCCGAAGTTCGAATCTCGACGGAGGAGCAACATAGCGGGGAAGGCGGGTGGACGAAGGCTCTCTTTCGTCGACCGGTGAAAGATTAGGAGCAACTAGAGAGGTCAGAACAGAAGACGGAGAGGAAGAAGAAGATGAAGAATCTCCAGAATGATCGGAGGAGATCTCCATAAAAGTTATGGGAGAACCGTTCGCTTCTTCAGACATGGCGTGATAAGGTTTGAAAAAGGGAAGAGATAAAGGATGAAGTCGCCAAAGGAAATGAGATGAGGAGGAACTACCATCGACATGAATATATAGAGAAGAGGGAAGAAATTGAAGCATCAGTTGAGAACCTAAACGGCGTCTAAAGGAATTAAAGGCTACTATGCAGTAAAATTAATTAAAGATCGTAGAAGAATAAATGAACAGATATGATTTGATACAGAAAACCGTGCCCTAGATTGAAGGGCGGTTACGTTTAAAAATAATAATAATAATATCGAAAAAGGAAATTATGTTGTGATTCAAAATACCATTCAAGTTCGGAACGTATAATAGCTGGAATTGCCCGCCGATTCCTCTCTAATCAATAGATGGGGGATCGGGTACGGTTTCATTGTTTATTTCAATTACATTGTTAATTCCGACCTCGTTATCAGTCCTATTTAGGTGTACCAGTTCGACTTCTCTTGAAGGGGCCGAAGTGCCTATGTTAGGGTCGAAGTTAGCTGCTGGTTCGGATGATCTCTTCATAGCTAGTTCCTAGTCGCAGTCAAACATGGAGACGAGTTGATCAGGGTCGACTTCCTTAGCAAATCTTTTTAACCATTGACCGCATATTCGAGACCGCAATACTCCAGATCTTTCTCAAGCTGCCTGAACTCAGGTAAGTGAGACATTACTTCATATAAAAGGTCAAAATTGTTGAGTCTCGCCTCAGTGTTGGCAAGTCTGGATTCCGCGTCTGCAAGCTTCGACACAGAATCTTCAACCACTTTCTCATATTCGCGAAATTTAGACTCAATTGTGGCCAGGGGCAATTCGGTCTGGCCGAGTTTCGATTTGGTATCCACCAATTCTGCTTCGATTGATTCTCTCCTAACGACCTCTGCATTCAAAGTTTGGGTGAGCTCGGTCTCAATTGTTCTCCTTTTCTCGATCTCTACTCTCAGGACGTTTTGTTTAGAGGTCTTCATCTCGGTGAG